TTAAGGACCGTGGCAGTACGTTTATTGTTATTTTGAAGACTTTCTTGCAAGGCAAATTGTTCTGCTTTTCCTTATGGTCGGGTAGAACCTGTTAAAAAATGGAAAGTGTTATTTGTTGTTGTAAATATCACCGTACAAAGGTCTAAGAATTGCACTCCGAATTGACCTTATTTTCTTGTTTAACTGGTTTCTCGTTACCTTCAGTTTTATTCACACCTGTCTTGCCCCTCTGTCGACTATTATCTTATGTCAGCCTGAACCGTTCCGGGAAGCATTGTATTTCTCTCCCGGTGCAAGCTGAGCACTTTGCGCCAAAATAGCCATAAGGCCAACAGCTGGTTTGTTTGCATCCCGTTTGTGCGGCATAAAAGCGTAATTTAAATTCAAATCGTTTATTAATCAATAAGGTCGCGGTTAATCAAATATAAAAGCATATAGTCTTAGTCAGAGTAACAAAAAACTGTCCAACGTTTGACGTTTATTTTACATGTGTAGCCACAGAAGTGAACACTTCTTTAATCAAAGCAAAAAATTCTAACTACATATACATCAACAAAATAGGCCTATTTGACCCTACTCGCGTTTATCTTGTTCACTACAACGTAAACCTTTTACACATTTGTCCCTCCAGTTCAACATTTATCGAGCCAAGATAACAAAGGGACCATGCATTTTCACAGGTAACTTCGGGCGACAATAACGCACAGAAGAAAGTTAAAGTTTAACAAAGAACAAACCTGCCGTTTTCGAGGAGGCAAAAGAGATTCTTGACTTTCATTCCAGACCAGAGATCGGTTAGCTGAGTTTGGTCTTCACTGTACCGCAGGCAATGAAAGGTACGGAGGGTTCTGGCTTGATAAACACAGTTGAAATTGGTGTCTCCATTTATACGGTCGCTCGATTAAAATTCAAACCAGCATGAGAAATGTTTTTGAATAAATCTTTTGTTGAAACTGTTTGTGAGAAAAGCACGCACTCTGTGTTCAACAATGGGGCAATCAGAGCATAGATTGGTCACATTCAAAGAAAAAAGTTTGCCGACTCGCTCAATTACATAACGTTGTAAACAGTACTACTGGATAAGCATGGGACTTGACAATACAATCAGAAAAACAGTAATCAGTTCATCAATGAACAATTAGACTAACGCTTGAATCAGACGCATTCAGAAAAAAAAAAGGCCGACTTGATTAAAACTTGACAAATCGATAACAAAACTGGCAAGTGAATGAGTAGACAATAGGCCTTTCGCCCCAAGAGAAATTGAAAACAATACTAATGCAAAATTTTGGAGGGAAAACAAACAGTATCATGGTATTTTTGAAAAAGATCTTTTGCCGTGTGAATTACCACAAGCTAGCTCCTGAATAAATTTAAAAGTACCGGGAAAGAATCAACAAACTTTCCAAACTTCTCGGTAGACAATAAAAGCGAAGAAAGTTAAGGAAAACTAGTGTTAGCATAAATACCGGAGTATTCCTCCCTCCTCCTATGCCTGAATTGCTCGTCACAACTAAAGTTAAAAGTGGTAGACAAAAATAATCATTCATTCGATAAGCGCAGCAAGTTGAGGAAAACTTTTGATTAAAATTGCCAGTTAAAAAAATCACTTCTATCACACTGACATATAAAAAGCTCGCGTTCAACGAAAGTGCCGCGAAAAACACAATATTGAGGAGGTCATTGATCATAGCATGGTGTCATTAGTTTCTGGGGTCACAAGAAAAGTGGAGCGGATTTATGCATCAGGCCCGGCTGGTACAAAATCTTCTCCCAAGGTGGTCATTTCGTTTTCGTTTATAACTTCGCTTGATTTTGCTCGATCGGGAGACCACCCTTCAAAGGAACTGGGACTCTCTCCCTTGTCTCTTTTTTCCTCCCTCCCCTCCCCTTTTTGTGCCTATAATCAGGCTAATTAATACCTAATAATGTGAATCAAGTGTTCATAGTGAAGAATAAGCAATTCATTCATAGGAAGGGGGAGGAATATTCTGGTATTTATGCTATATAGGTATATGACACCCCAGAAACTGTCCCGTATAAACTGCACATTTCGCTTGAGATAAGACGCGGCTTAGCTAAGATGTGTCTTCTTCATCTACAACTTTAATCTCTCACAGTTTCCCGTTATAAAGATATGATCATCTAGAGCTCACAGCATTGACAGATCTGGAAAGCTGGAGCTCTAAAAAGTGCCATCATGTTGGTAGATGGATCTAAGAACAGGTGTTAAGGGCTGATTATCAGTTCTCTCTTCATTAGGTCTATTTATAGTTACAGTCTTTGTTTTTCTCCATCAAAATTATATCACTGACTCAAATGCTCTAAGCCGAATGATAAGGCGAAATGCTGCGAAAAGCTTTTTGGTCATTTGCAGGTAACTTTATTTTTTTGTTTAAAAAAAAAACATAAAAAAAAGATCTGACTTAGAAATTTGTCAATAACGTGAGGAAATACTTGATACTTATGCACCTATCAAAGTAAACCCCGTGGGGGGGGGGGGGGGGGGGGGGCAAGGGGGGGGGGTTTGA